GTAAATCACTGGTAAATAACCAGAACATCTCAAACCGAAAACCCTAGGATGAAAATGCCCTAGGTGAGTGAGCGGGAAGTGCAATGTCTTGAAGGGAAAGTTTATGTGCTCTCTGATCACGTGACATTAGATAATTTAAAATGTATGTAGTATCTTCGTGCTCACATGTCCCTCAAAGGACAAGGAGTATCAAATAGTGTCTAATTTTTTGCCAACCTTGAAGAACGTGGAGTGCCATAGATGGGCAACTGTAGACATCCCATTTTAAAACTGACAAATTTTATGATTTTCCCATCTTAAACTACTTTTAGGATCACAATATTTCAGAAAACCCTCGAACCATAAAACACCTTAATCCATGGTCCCCATCTTGTGATCTTGCATCCTTTCAAATCTTGTAATTTTTAGCAGTTATCCATTCTACACCCTGTTTTGAGTCTATAAAACACATTTATGTGCCTCTTTTGGTGGAGAGGGGTATTATTTTAGAGTTAGACATGATTAGCCTAGGAAATCAGAGAGAGAAAAAAAGTTGGAAAATGAGAGATTCTATAGACCAGAGAGAAAACTTATGAGAAACCCTAGATTTAGGAAAAACCCTAGCCCTAGCCATTAGATCAAATCCAAGAAAACCATTCAACCAAGCCAAGGCTTAAGTCAACTTTGAAGAGATATATGGAGGATCGACAATGGAAATTTCAGCTGCGGTTCTGATACAGGCAGGGTCTCGAAGCCTTAGGTTTGCCGGGCCAACTGGCCCTATTAGGTATCCTCCTTATCTTCATAATCTTCATTTTTTTTTTCAGTTATTTTTATTAGATCTAATATCTTATTTTCGTTTCATTTAATATTTTGTGTCTTTGGATCAATGCTGGCTCTATCACTGATCTGAAAGCGGATCTATTCATTTTTTAGTAGATCTAACATCATAACAGAATTCGAATTTTCCCCTCTATCATTATTAAAAAAATCAGTTTGTGGTTCAGATCCGAAGGATCCTCCTTTGAAGATCTCTTTGATCTGCGTTGTAAATAAGTATACTCTTGTTCAGAAACATAACATTGGAAATTATAAAGCACCAAAACTTGTTCTAAGGGGGATGAGTAGTTGGCATTATAATGGCAAAGACAATGTTTTAATTCCCAAATTCATGCTCTCACCAATTACAACTTCTCTTTTAAGGGCAATAATTGCTCCAATCAGTTGCAAATCCTTATGCCTCCACCCATCTAGTGTTTTAAAATCCAGATCAGTGGGGTAGATCATTCACCCACATATCCATGTTAGATTGCTGGATTGATCATTCAGATCGGGTATGGATGGGTTCGAATCAGTGTTAAAAAAATTTAAAATTAAAATAAGGATTTAAGGGTTGAGGATTTAGAGGGAACCTATTTTTTATAAAAAAAATAAAATAAAAAGTCAAATAGGCACTTATGACAATATTAGACAACGGACCTATGAAACTATAAGCTTGTATTCTATGAGATCATTTATGTTTGTTACAAGGAGGTCACAATTGCTCCTAGCCATTACATGTCAAATTGGATGGCTTGGAGTATGCACAAAGTTCAAGAAATTTTTTATCGAAATTTGAGTCTAGTCAATGACACACTCATAACTACTTGATTTGAAATCTGACGGACAAGAGTGACTGTTACCCCATTGTATCCAAATTAAATACTCTATATAAATAAAGCCTGATAAAGCTGGATGGAATAGGATTTGTGTAGTCAACCCAAATAGTTGGGATAAGACTCATGTTGATGATAATGATATATATAGGAAGATTCTAGAGTGAGCCTACTAGCTCACAAGAAAAAATGAGCCCAACGACCCAGATTGAATTTGGGTCAATCTGACGATCATGGATGTCTGGTAGTGTTTGAATTTAATTTTTTTTTTTACAAATTTTAATCACTTGAAATTTAGAGTGTGTGTAC